TAGGCCATTTTTATATATGTTTTTTAACTATTTATAGATTATGGTCTGGAGAGTCCTGTGTTTTTTCTTTTTTATTATTGTGAGCCGCCCAGAGTCACCCATTGGGGGAGATGGGCGGCATACAAATTTGAAAATAAATAAATAAATAAAACATTATACGCTTGCTACTATGGAATTCAACAAACTGCTGTTATTGCCAGCTTTCAGAATCTTGTTGGCTTGCCCTGATGATATGAGAACAATTAGAGGATATTAGAGGACACTATAACCTCTTTTAACGAGGAATACTTACCACAAATTTTACTACAGGTAATCCTCATTTAACAGTGCTAATTGGGACTGGAAACACCATCGTTAAGTGATGTGGTTGTAAGTTGAAAAACCACATGACCACACTGCTAAGCAGTGACAGAGCAGTCCCAGTTGCCATCCTTAAATGGCAATCATGCAGGTCATTAAGTGAGGACCTCACGTGATCATAAATTCCAACTTCCTGCTGGTTTCCGCATTGGCTTTGCTTGTGGGAAGCTGGCAGGGAACATCACAAATCGTGAACACATGACCACGGGGATGCTGCAACAGCCATAAGTACAAGGCCCAGTTGTAACTACTACTTGTTCAGCACTGTCAAAATTCAAACAGTCGATGAATGAGTGGTATTAAACAAGGACTGCTTGTATTAGGATCTACACCTATTCTTTAAAATACTGTGGGATGGAGAGATACTTGTCAGGTCAGAAGATGTAAATTGCATGTACTGCATATGTATTGCTTAAACCAAAAACGGTATCAAAACCTCTAAAAAGCTTCCAATGGCAATTGCTACTCACTGCATCTCACAGACCTGTGAAAACATGTAGAGACCTCTTGGCATTCCAGCATTTTTAAAAAGGCAGCTCATCCAGTGACAAAGATTCAAGTCTAACTAGCTAGAAAGAAAGGTGGGACCTATGAGGAATTAGAGCAGAATGCAACCCACAGGCTATGGACTGGCCATCCCCATTGTTAATATGAATATCCTTTAACCTATATGTCACATATAATCTCACGTTGTGTTTTGCATAGATCTATATTCAGCACAATTAGTTCATGGCTCATATGACCTGTATCTCAGTCAAACTGTTCCCTGACTGTGCTTTACTGTTCTGTATTCTGATAGCTGGAAGGTACAGCCCATGTAAAGAAAGTAGAATTTGACCCAGACAAGATCAGTATCTATCTTGATCAGGTAAGACCTCTGTTTAACATGGAGCTGGGTTTGGAGGGAGCCAAGGTGATGTGGGCATTCGTTCCAGATGACAATTCATCTTCTGGGCAATAAGGAAAAGGTGGAATTAATACTAGGACTACTATCTGTGGACCTAAGACCTGGCATCAAAGCAAAACCTTTCTCTACCTTTCTCTTTCTTCAGTTGGATAATACAGTTCAAAACTACAATTTCTATGTGGAACAAGAAGTTAAAGTAACAGATCTTAAACCTGCAATAGTTAAAGTTTATGACTATTATCATCCAGGTAAGTATCTCTCTAGTTGCTCCCCATTTCTATGTAGTTACATTACTCTCCTCCTTTTAGCCCCAAAGAACCTGGGTAAACTTTTCCATCCATGTGATATGGGAGGTAATGTGTTTTGCTTTTAGGAAAAGATGTTTGTTCTTGTAAATTATACTATTTATTTTAATTTTATGGTTGCATTATTATCTTGTAAATTATCTTGCGTGCTTTTATCTGGGAAGTGGCATAGAATGGAATATAAGACATCACTGCCAATTCTTTTTTTATTCAGATGACAACGCTGTTGTTGAATATAATGCTCCTTGCAGTGAAGGTAAGGATGATGTAGGGATGCTTTTACAATTTTTTGTCTTGCTGATTGACTTCTTTGTCCAGATTATGGTCCAATCCACAGTTGCTGTTGAAAACTTCTTTTGGAGTGATGAAGTGGCATCGTCTCACTCCCAGTGTGATTGCAGCTCCTTTGGCAAAAGGGCTGGAGAGATCAAACTGAAATATGGCCATTTTGTACATTCCAGCCATATTTCAGAGCTCTTAAAAGTTTGCAGTGTTCTAGGCTGGGTCTGCTACATACTCAACATTTATTCTGCAGTCTGTTTTACAGACATCATTGCTTCTCTGATGCAAGCTGCAAGCAGATATCATTAGACTTTAGACACTGTCAGAATTTTGGGGTGGCTACATCCTGTTTTGTCTATACCTATAGATGGGACATAGTCACAGGTGGAGGGAAAGTTAAAATTCCTCCTCCCTTTTTCTTCTCTAATATAGTTGCAAACTGTTGATCAGAGTATATCTACTTTTTAAAACAAAACATTGTTTTAAGCATTACAAAATTTCTTTCCTGCAATTCTATAGTTGTTGTTGTTGTTCCTTCTTAAAGCTTGTACTCTTGATTATGTAACGCGTTACATTATTTTCTCTAATATAGTTGCAAACTGTTGATCAGAGTATATCTACTTTTTAAAACAAAACATCGTTTTAAGCATTACAAAATTTCTTTCCTGCAATTCTATAGTTGTTGTTGTTGTTCCTTCTTAAAGCTTGTACTCTTGATTATGTAACGCGTTACATTATTCTGATCAGGACCGGGAAGGGCAGTTCCATGCTGCAGCTTCAAGCAGTTTGTCACCCATGCATAAATCAGGTAGAAATAAAGAAATCACTTCCCTGGTTTCTACCTATACTTCCACTTTGATCATGATGATAGCCTGGAATTCTGTCTGGACTGTGCTTACCACAGCCCTCATTGGAAGATTCCCCTGCTTCTTTACTCTTATCATCCATGCCAGGAAAGCAAACACCAATTGCTTTTCTCTCCATGGACAGGACTTTTGAGGACATACAGTGTCCATTGATAGATACAGTCTGGAAAGAAACCAGACTTCTCTCTTTGACTCCAGCTCCTATTAGACACTTTCCCATCTGATGCACTGACTGGTAGACCAGTAAAAAAAAAAAAAAGATAGAAAATGCCACAGTTTTACCATTATTCCTACCACTCTGACTAATCAGGAAGCTGGCAGAATTCTTGTCTATTTTACATGGTTTACCGGGAAAAAAAATGGACTGGTGAAAAACTCAGCCTTTCACTGGTCTATCAGTGAACCTGTTAAAATAAGAAAGTCTACCCTATCCCCAGTCCAGCACCCCGGGATGAAAAGTCCATGAAGACAGCAACCAGTGACCAGAGGGGTGGGAGCACTTCTGCCCCAGCACACAGAATATTTGGAATGGACGCCTTTGCTGACGGTGTAATGAAGTGCAGCAAGAGCGCAGCACGGTCTGAACAGCCCGAGCCATAAAGCCCTGCTCTTGCGGCCTAGCCACTTGTCTTCCCAGTGGACTGATGACAGGTGGAGGCTTATGCTGGTGCACCCTGGTTGTGTAGATCAGCCCTAAGAGAAAAAGTGAGTGAGTGAAAGAAAACTGTAGTTAGTGCAATTAATGCTGAAATATTTAAAAAGAGGGCAAAGAAAAAGTTATATCACAGCAAAGTTAATTTTAAAAGATCTTTAAAGGAAGGTAGGTGATTATTTTTATTACTTTTTAATTGATCTGTTATTTTAGCCAATTATTATTTAAGTAATGCAAAATTGTTTATACTGTTGTGGTTTTATTGTTGAGATGGTAACTCTCCAGGAATCTCTTGATTGTAGTGAGTTTAAAAAATTAAAACATACAAAGGATAGAAAAATTGTGGGAAAGCAGTTTGCTTTTTTAAAAAACAGCAAGACCCATTCTGATCATAACAGAAAAAAAGGAAATAGATGGGACAGGCAAACTTCTCTAAAACAAAATGTACATAAAAATGGGGAGATAGACACACTAAAAAGGAACAAAAATCACAGTGTAGAAAGTCAATTTCTGTTCCATTACTGACTTACAGTGGGAAAGCATTGATTCTGTAGTGCTAAGAACGATTTTTCTAGAAATATTCCACAAAAAGTCATGGAATAATATATAATCTTGAATTTCTGTTTCTTTCCATAGGAAAATACAAAAAAGATGTCCACTGAAATCCTTTATCTTCATATCTGAATTATTCTAGTGTGAACACTAAAATTTCTGGAAATGATTGTTCTTGTCTTGTTTCATTCTGACGGGGATGCTGATGTTTTTCGTCTTACGCCAGCACAAGTGGCCTCTCTGGTTCCCTGCCGCTGTGCTTTATTTCGTTGCAGGCAAATGCCTCCATTCCGCTTGGCTTCTTGTGCTGTGGCAGGAACCTTCTCTCTCCCCTCCAGCCACCCATTTTCTCCTGGGCTGCAGGGTCACCTGCCTTTTTCAGAAAAGATTATGACGAGTGACACCAGCGGTTAATTATGAGTTTGGATAGGAAAAGAGCCAAACGCTGAGAAGAGATAACAGTGAAAGCTGTTTTGCTGTTGATTTTTTTAACAGTCCCCCAGTGAGATGGTGAAAGGGGGGCTTTAAAACAAGCAGACCTCCTCATTTATGGAGCGGTGGAAGAGTGGGCCTTTTCATTTCACTTTTCAAACCGGGGAAATTGACAGGAGCTCTTGCCAGCTTTACCTTGTAGCCCATGTCACAGAAGAATGGGAAAATTCTGGTGTTCTCTTTTCATTCTCTTTTTTTTACTGGTGGGCACACCTAATGGGAAGGTGTCCAGTCCAAGGAGGAGTCAGTGGAGAGGGGGCTCATATAAAAGATGTATTAATAAAGCAAATTCCTGCCCATGGAAACGAACGTGATTGATAATGACTTCTTGGCACAGGTCGGAGGGGTAAAGAAGCTGGGGTATTCCACCAATTGGGGCCTGCAGTAAGTGTGGTGTGGACAGAAGACCACATCATCACCATGACCACAGCAGAGGAAGGGGTTGAAATCCAGAAAGCTATTTTCAGCCAGCTTATGCATGCGAGTCAAGCAGCTTAGGGCTATAGGGTGTATACTGTATGTGCTTACAAAGACAGAAAATATGTATGCTTAACAAAACAAACTCAAGAAGAGCCAGTTTGGTCTAGCAGTTAAGGCACCAGGCTAAAAACCAGGAAACTCTGAGTTCTAATCCTGCCTTAGGCATGAAAGCCGGCTGGGTGACTTTGGGCCAGTCTCTCTCAGCCCAACTCCCCTCACAGGGTGGTGGTTGTGGGGAAAATAGGAAGAGGAAGGAGTATTAGGTAAGTTCGCCACCTTGAGTTATTTATAAAAAGAATGAACATCGGATTTAAAAAATCTAAAAAAAAACCCTCAAGAATCACTATCACATGTCCCAGAAGCTAGAGAACAAAGGACTTAATTTCCCCAGCCTGCTTCATGGGGTTGAAAGGAGCCACTTGGATCATTGACTCCAGCCCCTAGCTACTGCAGGAATTCACACAAAATTGTGTGTCCAGCAGATGGCTGTCCAGACCCTGCTTGCCCACTTCCAATGAAGCATAGTCCACTACTTCTCACATTAGTTTTGCCCATCTCCCAGAATAATTGATAGGAACCCATTTGGTCCTAGGGGCTCTGTTATACTGATGAACTTAACAGAATTTTGCAGTTCTGGGAGCCTTGTTAACCCAGCTGCTGTCCTCCACCACATCACTTCAGCTATAGGCAGTAGGCAGGATGCACTGAATCCTGATTAGATTTTTTGCAAAACATTGAGTGATAAAGAAATTAAAGAAATACCTGAAAGTGTACTTCGGCTGCCTAGCCTGGGTGTGCAGGCATTGCATGTGTGGTGTTTTAATTAAACCCAGGGGAAGATAAGAGTAAAATGAGTTGGAAGGGTGTAATGAAGTCACTTTGCACTTTGTCTGAATCTTCTACAAAAAGTGCATAAATGAAGGGTATCCGTTACAGGAAAAAAAGGATAATTTGGAAACAATTCTCTGGTGCTAAAATTACCCACACATACGTGAAGGTTGTCCTCAGACTCCTCAGTTCTCTCCTTCATTCCATTCCAACAATTCTGTGCTGCTCCACTACCAACGGCTGAGAGCAGTGTATAGAGAAAAACCAAAGGATTAAAAACAATACAATGATAGTAAACAATATACATTATAATAACACTAACCAACAAGGGCAGATACCACCATTTAACATCCCGATTGCTGTCACCCAGAGCCAAGTCCTTCCTTCTTTGTGGAAGAAGAAGAGGAGCTCGTTTTTCTATGTGAGGGCAAGCTGTTCCATGCAAGGGCTGCCACGCAGTCCCTGGAGACGGAGCTCTTGGACATGGAACCCCCTCCCAGAACTTACTGAGCAGGCAGATTTTTCCGTTGGCAGCAGGCAGTTTCAAAGATAATCAAACCGTAAACCGTGTAGCATTTACCTTTTAAAACTCCTTGGTCCCTTTTTCCAATTATTTCTTTTAATTCCTATTAATGGGAACAGCACATTTCCCCAACTATTCAAAAAAAGTGTGATTCCTTGGGGGCTTGCTTTCTTTATAGCAAAACATAAGAATCCTTATCCGCAAGTTAAAATGTAATGAATGTTCTTTAAAAAAAAAAATGTATGTCAACATACAGTGGGGCAAAAAAGTATTTAGTCAGCCACCAATTGTGCAATTTCTCCCACTTAA